ACACACATATACACACACATATATATATATCTATATATATATCTATATATATATATCTATAGATATAGATATATATATATAGCATTTTCTTTATCCTTTCATCTGTTGATTGATTGGTTGATTTCATATCTTGGGTATTGTGAGCAGCGCTATAGTACACATTCGGATTTCATCTGATCCAGAAATCCCACCCTGGGTATAAATCCAAAGGAAATGAAATCAGTAAGTCACAGAGCCTGTGTCTTAACAGGGCCTCCAGGTGGCTGTGCTGAGTCAATTGTGAGAGTGAGAGCTGTCTGTCACTCTCCCGGTCCCTGAGCCCCTCCGCTTAGCAGAATGCAGGTGTAGCTGTCCCAGACTGGTAGCACCTCAGGGCATTTGGGAGCCACACTCTGATCCCGATCCCGTGCAGAACTGTAAGTAAGCACCGTTCATCTGTAGCAAAAAGTGAGCACAGCGATTGAGGTTTGGGGACAACATCACAAGACTCACTGAGAGTCCAGTGCTGAGAGACAGTGCAGGAGCAACAGGAGTCCTGAAGAACTCCTTGCGCCTCAGCGGCTTAGAGGTCCTGACACTGACTCTGACTTTCTGCCCTCCCTTCCCCGAAGCTGAACGTAAGACTCAGTCATTCCCTGAGTATGGAATCATTTGGGGAATTTTTAAGGTTGGATCTCTTAGCACCACTGTCAGACAGGTGGGGAAACTGGTCTTAGGGTGGTCAGGATTTTCTTTAAAGCTCTCTGAGTCTTTCTCTCCTCTCTCTCTTTCCTCTCCCTTTCTTTTTTCTGAAACTGGAGCTTGAACCCAGGGTCTTCACCCTGAGCTATATCCCCATATCTTTCTTATTCTTTGAATTTTGTTTATTTTGAGAGAGGATCTTGCTAATGTTCCCACTTTGGGCTCAAACTTGCAATCCTCCCACCTCAACCTCCCAGAGTGCTGGGATTACAGGCGGGCACCACCACATCCAATTTGGGTCATTTTGGTGCATTTAGTTCAGCTGTGTCCAAGCCAAAGCACTGCTGGCCAAGGAGGTGCCCAGACTTCTCTTCAATACTCCTGTCTATGCCAGCCGCACAGGCCTGTCCCCTTCACAGTGGTTTTACACACACCCGACTGTCTTCTCTGTCTTTTCATCTAAACCCACATGTTACTTTTGTTTCCTTTAGTCCTGTTTGTGTGATTAGGTCCGACCCACTTGGATCATAGCCCTTTCTTAAAGCCTCCTGTTCTATAAAACATACATAATCAAAAGAATAAAATCCACCATTTTCACCTTTCATACAAGATGTGTGCACAAAGCAGCAGAGCTTTGGGGGCCATCTTAAAATTCTGCCTGCACCAGAGAATAAAAATACTTAGTCTTCAGGATTGCTATAAGGAATTAGGTAATATTCCAAGCCCCTATCGCATAGCAAGCTTTCAACGCAGTGCTTTCAGTTTGGCTTTTCTTTTCTTTGCAGTCTGAGCCCAGGCTACCCTGATGCCTGGAACTCCTTCCCAGATACAGAATTTGCTGGTCTTGTCCAGCCAAAATCCACCTCTGGTCTGGTCCATTTCCTGTTGCTATAGTAGAATAACAGATACTGAGTAATTTACAAAGAAAAACAGTTTATCTGGTTCAGGACTCTGATAGCTGGCAAGTGCAAACAGCAGGGGACTCATTCAATGAGGGATCCTTTGTGGCAGAGAGACAGAAAGAGACCTGGCTGCAAGCAGAAGGAACCAAGCACGTGAGTGGCTTCTCTTCCTAACAGCCTGCATTTAAGGGAACTAATCTATTCCTGCAAGACCCAACCCTTCCTGTGAGACTAATATTTATCCATTCACAATGGAGTCCCAAGGAACTAATTGCTTTCCCCTAAGCCTGCCTCTTAAAGACACTATCTACTCCTACACCAACACTGTGCCCGTGCTTCCTGCACATGAGCTTCTGGGGAATCGTAGGAGTCTACTGGCCGCATTGGACTTCAGCTCTTTGCTCTCCACCCTCACCCCATTCTGCCATGGTGTAGGTGGTGGGGATGCCCAGGAAGAAGTGAGGGAGTGGGTGTTTACCCGCTTCAGAAGCACAGGAGAATCTTCCCACCCAAATGTGGAGACAGCTGTTTCTGCTGGTCTCTTCTGAAATCAGCGCAACACTTCCCACGTAGACTATGTTGATGGATCAGGATCCCCGCCCCCTTTCCGTCAGAAGCACAGCATGAACACAAGAGCTGTCAGCGTTAATAACACACTACAATCCTGTCCATTTTTTAAAAGCGACTTCTAAAGGCACATAAAGAGAATCTAATTGAAACCATCACATGCAATCTTCTCTAAGTAGCAGCTATCGCATCAATATTTAGCAGAGAAATTCTGTTTCCTTTCCTTTCCTTTCCCCTAAATTATTTATAGGAAAACATCAAAATGTCTGTTAGCCCCAGCTTGGTGAGTTTTTCTTGGAAAGTCCCTGACTGGAAATCAGGGAACCTAAATGATCTGATCTTTGAGCTCTGCCAGCAATTCTCAAAGTGACCTGAAGCAAGTGTCTTTTGCTCTGAATGAACCTTGGCTTCTTTCTCTCTGAATGGGATAGTGGAGCTAAGTTTCCCTTGAGCTGTGGAATTCACAGGAAGTAGCTCCCCAGTGCTGCTGCCCACACTTCTTTTCTGAGAACCTCAGGGCCTGGCGCTCACAGTACCATGTGTAATAGGGCCTGTGCCAATCTCTCTGCAGGGCAGTGATGGATCCCAGCTGTGGGACATCTCTCCAGCTGGATTCTCAGCTCTGGCTACTGTTTACTTCACTCACTTCCCCCCAGGTATTTATTCTGTGCATACTCCAGGCCGCATCTTGTGTGAGGCCCAAAGAATAGAGATGATTAAGACAATATCTCCACCCATTGTGATGTCACAGGCCAATAAAAACTGGATCTGTAACCACTGATCAAAGCTCTGAATCTACGGTTCAGAGGAGGATGTTGAACACAGGGCTTAGGGAGAAGACAGTAAAGAAAAGAGGACATGAGCCTTGGTTTTGAAAGAAGGTAACAGGCCCAGAGAACATTCAGGAAACTGCAGTTTGGGATGGCGGAAGGACAGGGATTGAGGGAGTTGGCAGGGTGGGGGATGATAAAAAGTAAGGACAAGCCGGGCCTGGAAGTCTCTGCACAACAAGCCAAGGGTTGCCCACTGGGGAGTCCTCATAACAACTCTAAATGGAGGAGCAACAGGAGAAGATTGATATTTTAGAAGCACTTATCTGCCAGTCGTTCCCTCTGCATTTCCTGGTCCTAAGGAACATTTTTCACATCTTAGAAATTCTAGGTCTAACATGCCTTCAACACTCCATGTGAACAGGGACCTGAGGACGGAGAGCTCGGCCAGCTGCACAGATATGGTGATAGGTGTGCTGCAGAGGGGACAGTAGGGAAGCGGGGAGATGCCAGAAGCTGTTGCCGTGGCCTACAAAAGAGAGAATAAATTCAATGTTAAATCAAGAGCAGTAGCAGGCTGCTGCTTTTACAACCCAGAGTCACCCAGCTCAGGCCTAGACACAGCAATAACCTTTGGGGAGAGGATCCAAATGGGTTAGCCCAAGCCCAGGTATGGCAAGATAGGAGAGGGCTGGCTGGATGGTTAGAAGCACAGCCTGCTCTCCTTGCTCTGCAGACACCGTGAGTGTCATACATCCCCACGAATGACCCAAGCATGTCTTGGGTCCCATATGTCCCATGCATGGCTGGAAGAGCTCACAGAACCTGCAGCCCTGAGTCCCCAAGTGCAGAGCAGGCCTCCTACACGGCTGAGCAGTTTCTTCTCCCACTGAGCTGGCAGCTGCAAGAGCCACATGCAGGAAGCTGGAAGGGAGGAAGTGGGCCCTCAGCTCCAGCCACTCACTGGTGCCCAAGCGCCTCTCCTGCTCTGAGCCCAGCAGCCCCTCCACACTGAAAGCTCTTAGTTTGGGTGGAGGAAAAGCCAATGCTAAGAGCCTGAACTAAACCATAAATAAGCAGCAGGCATCCTTGGAAGCTCACTTGCTCTCAAAGGAGGGAAATCAAGAGGGATGTTAAGGCCTCACAGGATGGTGTGACAACATGACCTGAAATAATCAGAATGCCTCATCTGTAAAAATCTGTCAAATGAATGGCATTATGCCTGTTTTCCATTGTGATCCAACACTACATGGTAATTGAAAGGATGCTCGCAAAGCATATCACCATAAAGCAAGGACCCTTCTCTCCTAGTGATTATGCAGTGAAATTAAGAAGGATTTGAGCCAACACACCTCTGATTTTACCATGCATTTAAAGACTTGTTGAGATCCACTGGAGAGCGAAAGCAGAGGACCCCAGAGAGGATCTGTGGGCTCCTCTTCTCCCTGTTCCACATTCCCTTTGAACTGCCAGGGCCAAGCAATTCTCTTCAACATTTGCTGGATGTACATTGCTACTTCTCAACCTGCAGAGATGAAGCTTTAGGAGGTAGGTATCTTAACTATAGATTCCGTTTCTATGTTCATATAGTCGATATTTGATATTCTGGGGCTTCCACGTTCATGAATGTGTTTAGTTCTCCCCTCCCAAATCTGCAACTGAACATGGAGGTCACATTTCCAGTAAATGCCCAGATAGTGATGATGTGGAGCTCTATCTGCACATGAGGACTCTTTGTGAGCGGCGGGGGGGGGGGGGGGGGGGGCGGGGGG